TACCTTTAAAATGCATTGACCCACATTGACCCACACATGAGCTACTTGCATTGACCCACACATGAGCTATTGGGGGACACCTCACTTACAAACCATAACAGAGCTGTTCATAAATGACATCAAGTATGTCTGACCTACTCCTGGGACATTAGAACACCATGAATGTTCAGGATAGATCTAAGAAGGTCCTAAGTTTTCACCTTGGTCCAACTTCAGGTCTCTGTATAACATGGATCAAAAAATAAAAAATTAAGCAGAACTTACCATATGATCTAGAACTCCATTTAAGGGTATTTGTCTAAAACAATTGAAAGCATGCACTGGAATAGATAGATATTTGTACATCCATGTTTACCCAAAATAGCTGAAGGTAAGAAAACTCCAAAATATGTATCAATGGAAGAATGGATACACAAAATGTGGCCAATACAGTCAATAGAATATTTCCCAGCCTTAATTTATAATGACACATTTTACCAAATGGTTGAAGCTTGAACACAACCAAACCAATAAGATCCTATTTTTGTGAGATACCTGGGATAAAATTCATGGACTGAAAGTAAAATGGTAGTTTTCGGGGAATAATGAAATAGGAGATGTTGTTTAATTGGTATAGACTTTTAGTTTAGGAGAATGAAAAAAAATCTCTGGAGATGATTGTTAGTGCTAGTTGCACAATAATGCAAAATACATGTCACTCAATTTACATGTTATGCATATTTACCACAGCAAATAATATATGGTTTGTAAGGGTGTGTGTGTGTGTGTGTGTGTCTGTGTCTGTGTGTATGTGTGTGTATGAGAGAGAGAGAGACAGAGAGAGAGACTCTCCTGAATATGAACAAAATATACACCCTAAAGCCTCACCCTCAGGGCCAAACTCCTCCAGTCACACCCTACCTGCCTACAGTTAACACCCAGTTGATCCTTATCATGGTATTAATGCACTGATTGGGTTAAGACTTTCATTACCCAATCTACACCTCTTGCAATGTGTCTCACTCCTGGGGGCACATCTATTATCTAAATCATAAGAGAGGGATTTAACTAAAATTCAATATTGGTCAGAGTGTCTTAGAGACTTATGAGTTTAGGTGCATAGAACTTCAAATTACAAAGAGTACTTTGGAGCTGAGTCACATTATACTGCCGCAGCAGAGGTCACCACAAAGGAGAGGGGTTACAGAAAGAGAATCACAGTGCGAATTGGCATGGAAAATCCTGGGGATCAGAAAAGTTGACTAAACTTTGTTGCTCCAGAATCTTCACAGCGAACGGGAATTTGAAAAGCTGTCTGCATTTCTTAACTGGCCATGGAAAGCTGAGGCTGGGAGTTGCCCTGAAGAGGGCACACTGCAGCCCCCTGCTGCAGGAGCCTGGATGATCATGGCAAACATTGCCATACCGCTACCACAAGTGCCCAGGTGTGGGCTAGAGTGTACCTAGCAGAGCATGAGTGAAACACTCATAAGGATTTGCCCAAGGGGATTTAAGTCAGAAAAATAAAGGCAAATCTAACTCATCTTCCCTTTGAATCTGACAACTCACATGACCAGCTGGAGGGACACTGAACAGGAGGGTGCATTCACTCAGGGACTAAGCCTGACAAGTTCGAATTTGTGGGTAGCAGAGTGTGTGGACTGGCTCCTCTGCTGTGTGAGTAGAATTCTTGGGAGATCCCTGACATCCAGACTCTCAGTAGAACTCAGCATTTGCAAGGTCCTCAGGGTGTGTTGGTCGAATCTCTCTCT